TTTCGTATCTCGATAACTATTCGTCCAAGCGCAAAATAGTACAATACTTTTCTGTTTGTCTTAGTCCCCTCTACCTTCCCATGACCGGACGTCAAAGTCTTGCGTAGCACCCTGTAGATTAGAATAGCTAATTGCGATTTTTAGTTACGCGGAGTAACATTTGTAAAAGATTAGAGTTACAAACAATCCCAATAATTCGATTATTAATTGTGGGCCTCAAAATGGGTTGCCGTCTTTTCTCACAAAATACATAAACGTATATACTTGTAGTACAGTAGTACAGTAGTATTATATTTAAAATAAAATAATAATTGTGTTTGATGGAAGATGCAAGAATATTGCATTAACTAATATATACATATATTATATACACATACATTACTTATTTTATATACACTCACATATTTATGTATATACATATACATACATATAGTTTGTAAATTCAACCCACAAGTTTCCAGAAAGTGTCATCGGCACCATAAAAATCATTTTCGTAAATGAATCTGCTATTGAAAACCTGCCACAACACCGCTATAGCATACGAACAGGGTGTTCGAAAAAGGGGCCTTGAAAATATCTCAAAAACTATAAGTTATATAACTGATCTAGTTAATACCCCGTATGCTGTAGCGATGTGTAAAAACCCGTTTTCCAACGTACATCACCTTCATTTGTGTAAAAATGATTCCTGTGTCTTTGGCAATTTGTTGGTTGAATTTAGGAAAACCGTGTATGTGTGTGTGTTATACGTAATCGAAAGTGTGTCATATAGTTGTGCACTAGTTGATAATAAATATTGATTCTATATTCTCGTGTTAATATGATAATACGTTCATATTCACTTATAAATCTTTACCTGTTCCTTATAAACGAGTACGAATTTTTTGACAAAGTCTTCAGAATCGAATACAGCAGTAGCATTTATCAAGCGATTTTTTACAAATCCACGTATCTAAAACAGATTTTTAACATTTACATTTATAAATAATATTACAATGTTATATGCAGTATCTTTATTCTTATATCATATAGTCTTTTCAGAAGTTCTAATGTATCTTTTCTCTGTTTCATGATTAAAATAATTATACTGAGAATATAAACAAGTTTAGTGTAATGGAAATAACATACAAGTATAGCGGTGACGTTTGTAAAATTTACCTTATCAAGCGATTCCTTAGTGTATACATGATTTATAATATCAATTAATGCTGCTACAGTGCTAATTTCTCTGAAAAACAAAATAAACGTTTTTTTAATTAACAACTAGGATTTATTGTCATGGTTATAAGCACAATATATACAGAAAAAATTGTATGTACTTCGGTTTGACTTTAAACCAATTGTTTAATATATAATCGAGCACGAGTTTATTTTGTGTTGGAATATATTTCGCATTGTTCATAGCGATGGTATGAAAAAAATTAATATCATCAAATGCATCTCTTCTTATTCCCATAAACTGGGGTTGGTCAGCATCTTCTGTTACATTGATATAAAAATATTTAGAGCAAGCCAGGAATTCTAAACACTTTCTTCTATCGTTTTGAAAAAGAGTTCCATTCTCACACATAAGATATACTTTTTCAAAAACACTTAAAGCAGCTATTTTTAAACCATTACAAAATGTCCATTTTTTCCACCCCGGCAATAATTTATTATGTCTGAAAAAACAGGTCATAAAAATCAGTTTAAAAATCCTGTAACTTAAATGTATATTTTTATGAAATAATTTGCAAAATTCAAGCAATGTGAGTAAGATAAAAGTATATTTAAAAAAGAATGTCGTAAAATGAATTACATTGGACTTGATAGATGCCATTCTAATTTGTTCAGGGCCATTTGATTGCATTGACTTTCGGAATCACTGAAATCACATATCCATTTTATAGCTTCCTGCCTTAAGCATTTAGTAAAATAATTTTCCTGTGGATCTTCCTCGTATCCAATTATCTCACCAACTGGTTCTAATCGTGTGAATAAAATATCCTAAATTGTAAAATTAAACGATTTTATATTTATGATGTTTGAAAAAGTCATGGAGCGTACGAGTAGTTAAGAACATAAGTATGTATTTAAGAATTAAAAAAGGAATAAATATAACATGAAATGTCATAAAAAATTAAAAGGTTATTTATTTCTCTTTTGGGTTCAAATATTCCACATGGTTTATCTTATGCTCGTATAACTAATGAACGAATGCTCTCGAAATGAATATATCTTTACATAATTTATTATTAATAGTAATTCACTATTCATAATGTTATCATTTTGATTAAAAATTAATTAATGTGTGAATAAAAATACTATTACGAAACGTATAATTACCATACATCATAGTGTTCTTATTTCTTCATGATATTTATAATTTCTAAGGACTAGATAGTATATAGCATAAATATTGATATGTTAAAACAATGTTTTAGGACTTTACAATTGAATTTGATGTTATTAAGATCAGCTGTGGTAATTTCTGAATTTAAAAATAAGAGATTTAGAATTTTAGAAGAAAGATGCACGTATGTATATACGTGCGTGACGGATGTTTCGAATTTGAAGTAAGCGCTTTAATACTTTTATATCTTAAAAGTTAGCTGAAATGTAATCATTAGAGGTAACACTAAGTACACGTACACCAGCCATCAATGATAATTCATGTATAAGGTAACATGTGTATTATATAATTTTACTTAGTATTTGCAATAAAATACTGACAATTTGCATTTTCTATCTTTGAATAAAACTACGGAAACACGTAACAGAATCAGCGTTAGCTACGTCATATTTCATTGAAGCTTTTCTGACAATTCATACTTCATCACTAAGCAAACGTTTAGATTCAACATTTTCCAACATCCTTTACCTTGAAGAAGTCTCCATTATCTGGGAAAGGAATGATGTAAGACGTGCGTTCAATAGCTTTAATCATGGGATACCATGCTATATAATCTGTGTCCTGCATTAGGTAACTCGTAAGGGTCCAAAATATAGAAGAATTGAGGTGACCCGTTATGGTAAAATAAGCTGCATCGTCAATTATTTGTGCACGATTAAGAACATGAATATTTGTATAGTTGTAAGAATTGATGTAACGTGCTATATTTTGCCAAATGTTCGCATAAATAGTACCGTATGTGACACGATAATATCCTGTATTAAAATTAATACAATTGATCACTAATCCTGATAATTAATATGACATTTGACAGTAAACATTTCCTAACTTTGTCTTTTTCAAATATGTTCAAAGAAATATAAATAAATTTGCATATATTTAAATATCCTATATATTTTCTCGATAATGCGATTATAATCTATTATTCTATAACGTAAAAGTTATCTACAAAATTTGTTTTTATTATAAATTTAAATGCATTACTGAATTAATTAATGTGTTTGATAAAATGTATGTGGTTGGAGTTACACAATTTCCTTTTATTGTTTTACTTAATCCTGATTATACAGGGTGCTACGCAAGACTTTGACGTCCGGTCATGGGAAGGTAGAGGGGACTAAGACAAACAGGAAAGTATTGTACTATTTTGCGCTTGGACGAATAGTTATCGAGATACGAAATTTTAAAAATCGCCGTATTAGCCCAACCTACTGGCGAATGTAAGCGCGCGGTGAGGTGACCGGCCTAGCGGCCCCGCGCGGGGAGACGTGCGAGCGGTCGCGTAAGCGGCGGACGGGCAGCGGCGCGCCTCGCCTCCCTACTCCTCGCCCCGCACCGCCATTCTATTCCTCGCCGAACACCGCCT